GGAAACTCTTAAGCGAAAAAACATCGCTGATATACATATGCATTACCATATACTTCAAGGTTAACTACCAACCAAATCATGCTAAATGAACACTGAGAAAGCCAAGCTAAGAGTAATGGATAATTAAACATCTAGATTCCTAGCAATTACAAATTATCAGTAATTGAATACGGTTTTGATATTGCCCAGCGACAGTGCCATTTCCAACATCTATAGAAAATCCAATGGCCTATGAGTCTGTGCTTCCCAGGAGCCTGAAACACACCGCTTCCCAGTACGGGAAGGCGGCCGGACCCCGAAGAGGCAGGAAACAGTCATTCATAAACTCCAGAGGGCTGTAACTTAACACCAATCACATTTCAGTAACTTCCAAAAATATCTGTGATTCCTGGTAGACCGCCTACAACATACCTTAAACTTAGACTTTCTGAGGCCCATACCTACAAGACCTGATCAAAGGCCTTGTGTGTGGCCTTCTGAACTAGATCATCACCACTAAGAAGCAGCCCTGGAAGTAGAGACCAAGCTTACAGAATCCCTACTGCAAAAGACAAATCTGATCCAGGAACCCACAGTGTAGACTCCCACAGGGGATGGGGGGGTTCCACCACAGCATTGGGCCCCCAGCACACAGTTCAGTACCCCCCATGCTGTTCCCTGCAGCAGCCACAACCACCATACAGCCACCTTTGTGGGTGTGCCACACTCCAGCCGACCCCCGGGCCTCCATCCACGCAGCTGTCTGAAATGCCCCTTTCCACCTCTTTTCTCCCAGTCACTTCTTCTGCTTCGCAGACTCCTCCTTCAAGACCCATCTCATGGGTCATGTGCTCTTAAAAGTATTTCATGACACTTCAGGCCTCAGGTGGATAAGGGCTCATCTCTGTGCCCCGACGACACCCAGTAACACAGCACCCTAGTGCTCATCACACTGCATTGGGGTCCCCTTGCCTGGTATTCCTATTACAACCTCTACTTGCAACTCATCAAACCCAACGATCAACCTGGTATCTTTAAGAGTTTCCAATTCAAGGTCACAGAAGAGTTGTCCGAATTTGAGGCCATAGTGCCCCAGAGCTAAAGCTGGAATTTCAGGATTCCCGTTAATTACCTTGAACAGAAGGCCTGAGAGCAGAGAGTGGCACTCAGGTAAGACGGACTTCCCTTTTCAAGTGTATTTGTGGGCACAGGGTTAAAAAGCTCGAGGTGAGGGGCGCCTGGGTGGCTCAGTTGGTTGAACAGCCGGCTTTGGATTTCTACTCAGGTCATGATCCCAGGGTCATGGGATCGGGCCCCATATCAGACTCCATGTGAAGCCTGCTTAAGATTCTCTTTCTCTTTCTCTCTCTCTCTGCCCCTCTCCCTGCTCATGCACACATGCACGCTCTCTCTCTCTCTCTCTCTTTCTCAAATAAATTTAAAAAAAAAATTTCAAGTTCAGTTTAAGGTAAAGAAAACAAGTAGGCTTCAGGGTAGGAGAAATGTGTTTAAAACAGAAAGCTGTGCACTAATATTTAGTTTGTTTTTTCCCTGTAGGATGTCAGTCGTTTCTTCTACTGACCTAGAACCAAGTTTCAATCATGATTTCTGGACCTAAAGGCGGCACGTGTTTTTACATCGAAATATCTGGAAGGGAGGCTACTTGGAGAGTGGCAGGGGTATGAAAATTCCAGCTGGTTATTTGCTTATGCAAGTTCCAAATGAAATAGTGGCCCACCCTTGTGTTCTACGAATTGACATGCTCGGTCTGGAGGAACAAATCACTCCCTGTACTGCTTCCCAGAACACAACGGCCACTCAAGCACACCTCTGCCAGCCTGGCAGTTATTTTATTGCACGCGGAAAACCAGAATCATCACAGCCCACCAAGCAAGTCAGGAGTGAAAGGTTAAAGTGTCTCACGAGCTACTTGAACGTGATGTCGCCAATGCTGTGAGACCTCTCACCAGGCCTAGGGCCCAGACCATGCAATCTGCTCCGTGTGCCATGCTGGGCACATGTGGTCCATCCACCAGCAGGAAGAGGTCACGGACAGATTTGAGCAAGGAGTGACGTGACATGACAAGCATCTTAAAGACCACTCTGGGTCCAAAGTGATGAGCAGAATGGAGGGAAAGTGGGAGCCGGGCAAGCAATTCGGAGGCCTTTGCAGTGAAGGCCCCCTGGTGTCACTGGACGTGGGCGTGGACAAGGGAGGGCAGATGAATTCGAGATCTACATTAGGGCCATCACAAGGACTTGGAAATCTGGAGGCAGAGAAAGGGGAGTGTCAACAGACAACTCCCCAGAGCACCCAGGGCACTCCTTAATCTCCATCCTCTATTTAATTTGTCTCCCCACCATCTCCCCTCTGGTAACCATCAGTTTGTTCTCTACAGTTAAGAGTTTGTTTCTTGCTTTGCCTCTATCTCACTTTTCCTTTTGCTCATTTGTTTTGTTTCTTAAATTCTACACTTGAAAAAGCAAGTTATCAGCCATGGACCCTAACGAGATGGGGGTAAAGGAGGTTTGCAAAGGGGCTGTGATAGAAAGAGACCAAGAGATAAAATTCGGGCCCCATGAGCTGGAGCACCCACGAGACATTCAAGTTACCTAGCTGCCGCAGTAGGTATAAAATGCCCCACAAAGCACAGAGGAGTCCTGTGGAATGACGGGCGCCTGGGGCTTTCGCACTGGTGACCCTTCCACCATCCTCCCGGGTGCTTGGGTCTCCTGCTGCTGTGCCGGGGCACCACATGAGCAGCGTACGGGTCCAAGTTCGCCCACGCATGCCCCTTCTGTGATGACCCTCGGTAGTGATGCAGATACCAGCCCTGTGGCCGGGAAAGCAGTAACTCTAATAGTAACATGATCAATCATATTTGCATCATACCACAAAGGGAAGTGAAATAAAAGGGAAGTGAAATATATAGGCCAATATTTTCTTCAATCACAGGCATCCTAATAGGTTTGCTGATTTCTTGATACTGACGTTTTCACGGAGTCCCAGCAGCAGGTACCTGGCCCTGTGCCCTGCCCGTAATACCACTGGGACTACCACCCTGTTTGGCGGGGGGGGGGGCACGTTAGACTGTCTCCTTGGGCAATGTTAATCTAACGTGGTATTAAATGCAGAGAAAGGTCTCTTAACAAAAGACCAGAGAAGACAGCCTGTTTTAGGAAAACAATGACTCACTGAAATCACATCCTGCCCTTAAGTTAATATGCCTCCTTCTGGACTAGAACCTGGTTTCCTATCATGATGGGTCTGTTTTCCAAGTCCCCCATCGAAGGACGACTCAAAATGTCATTTAACAATCTGCCTTCTAATTAAAATTTGAGCCATTTTTAAAAAACCACATTGAACTGAACAATCCCACATGGCAACAAAGCGCTGCGCTCTGGCGCCGTGATTAATAGACGCCTTTGCAACTGTTTAAAGGAGAAGGGAAAGGGGGAAAAACATCATTAGATACAGCGAGATTAAACCCATTAGTGTGCTTCCGTTTACTCATAAGAGTAAGACGGTGCGGCATTAACATAAACTAATTAAGTGTCCTGCCTTTAAATAAGCCCAAACAAAAATAAAACTTCCAAGACTGACTGGAAGGTCCTGGAAGGAAGAGAACCACTTTTTCAAGCAAGTGGCCTGGCTGGGGTAGGCGACACACCAGGCCGGGCTGCATGTCTTAACAGAAGGTCAAGGGTCCTCTCTCGGGAAGGAGCCCTGGGGGTGGGGAAGAGACAGGGCCGCAGGTTTTGTGAGGGCACCGGGGGCTTTGCAGGGGAAGGACCAAGGCGGTGCAGGGGAGAGATGAGCTGAACTCCATTCCTGCTGGCGACATGACTTCGTGCAAACACCTAACTGCTCTGAGCCTGCTCCTGCCTGAATGTGAGAAGGCACCGTATGCCCCTGACTGTTTCCCAGGCCTGGCGGGAGAAGACCACCTGGTGACGTGCGCAGAAGCACCCTGTAGCAGAGGAGGGTGTGCGAAGGTAAGAGCACTGCTGGTTACTGGCAGACAGGAGAGGGGAGGGTGAGGACGCTGAGTGGATGGTGACCCATAAAACTGGGAAGATCGATGAGAAATTTCTTGAGGAGACCCAGCAGTGCAGTAAACAGTTTAAGAAAAGGAACCTGCTGACTCATTCGCTTAAAGTAAAAGGTCCGGAGCAGGGACGTGGGTGAAGATGCAACAGTCTATTGACTGAGCAGCTCAGAAGATCTTACAGATGGATGGAGGAGGGGGTCCGCCATCCAGGAGACAGGCGGGGACACCTCCCCTCCCTTTCAATTTCTGGATACTTGCTCCTAATGTGGGCCCATATTTGCCCATAAAAAAAAAAAATCAGACACAGAAGCTTTGCTATTAGCTTCATTTCACCGATAGCCCAAAGAGAAAGGACATCTAGAGAACAGCAACTTGTGATGAACGCTCAAAGAACACAATCGATTTGCAAACGACAGTAAAGGCCCCCACAAGGATGGAGTGGAAGAGGTGCAGAATGCATCCGTACAGGAGCTGCCTGTCTAGAGGGGAGGCTGAGACTCTGCTCAGCCCATCAGTGCTGATGGAGCGATCCAGGCACAGCTCGGATGCCCCCTCCAGGAGCTCATGATGGCCAACGTGCAAACCCACAACTATACTCAGGTGTGGATATACCAGGATGGTGGCAGGGAAGAGACAGAGGCACGGAAGAAGATGGGTCAGGAGAGGGGCACAAGTGATCATGTAAAGCTCATTATGATACATGCCTGTGAGGAGATAGTATAGGGGGTTCCAAAATAGGAGGAGCGGTATCAGCCAGGAGGGGACAAAAAAGGGCCTGACTTCTGGGGAAGCAGTACCTGATAAGGGCCTTCAGGGATCAACAGGAACTTGGCCAGGCAGAGAGCACCGGGGCACACGGTACTTCTAAGACTGGGCATGTCTGAGGAATGATGGGTACAGAAATCTCTCCTCAAACAGTGGCTTCCCTCGTAAGAAAACTTTAGTAGGTACCAATTTCTCTCAGTTTACCTTTTCTTCAACTCCAAGAACTGCAGTCTCAAGGCTTTCAGCAAGCTGATTTCCAGTAAAGGTGACTTGGGTTATTCCTGTTGAGAAATCAGAGTAAGAGGTATAATAGGTTTTGGGGAGCTACTCCTCCACTGACCCCTTTTTTGGATACTCCCCCCAGTCCATGCTGAGAGGGTGGTCCAGTGGCTACCATCCCCAGACTGATTGGCTTGGGGAGGGACACTTGCCAGGGTCAGCTACACTGCTTCCTCCCTCCTCATTTGAGGATGACGATGTGCAAAGTTAGGTGAGCAGTGGTGAGCCCTTATCCGGGGAAACACACACACACACAGAGGAGGTGAGCAGGATTGCGCACTGTGCAGCCTCTGGATCAAGGGCCCTCCCCGCTCCAGTTCCCAGCAGGCTGGTCACACTTTGCTCCCCGCATTCCTGAGATTCCTACACAAACCCTCTACTGAGGTCAGCTGGCCTGAGAGCATTTCTGTTCCTTGCAACCAAGAATCAATGACTTAAGAATAAGGGATCCAGGTTTGGGACCAGAAAAAGAACATAAGCAGAGGGTGAAGAAACAGAGGCTTCTGGAACACAGTCTTGGGAAAAAGAAAAGAAGATGGGAGAAAGTAACTCTTAACTACTGTCCCATAATAGCTGAGAGGGAAGGATGAGAGGGATGTGTGAGACCCCAGCGAGGAGATCCAACAGATAATTCATAAAATCCCAGCTGTATTAAACATTAAGATGGCAGCCCAGACACTGGGGAAAAGGGCTCTCAATATGGGCATTACCCAAAACAATGCAAAGCAAGTAAGAATTTCATTGAAAATAAAAAGGTAGGAGACTCTGAAAAGTACCTATAGCAAACAAGGAATAATTGAGTAACTATAAGAAGTGTAATAATTTGAAAGCTGATTTACTGTGGGGTTTGTTTTTGTTTTTTGTTTTTTTTTGGTCTAAAACAATAAACATTTTATTTATTCATGGTTTGGTAGGTCAACAATTAGTGCTGGGCTCAGCCAGGTAGTTTTTCTCTGGTCTTGCCTAGTTTACACATGTAGCTACAGTCGTCTGGTGGCTCAGCTGGGCTGGGTGGTAGACCAGATGACTTAACTCACATACTAGTGACTGATACAGGCTGTTGGTGCTGCTTTCATAGTCTATTTTAGTAAATGTAAACTTTTTTTTCCCCCCTGAAAGCTTCAAAGATGTATGCCTACTATCCCCTTGCCATATTTCTTCCATTGGTTCTTGAACTGGTCAACCATGAATTCACCCACTGGAGGGTTTTCTAAATCTAACCTCTTCTACCCCGTCTGCCAGGAAGCGATGATCCTGGCGAAGCTCAGAGATAAAGGGGTGGGAAAGGGAAGGGTGAGAGGCAGAAATGGAAAGGGGAAGGTTCTTCAGGGGCCCTAAATGCTGAGTTCAGTTGGATGGACTTTATTCAAGCAGCATAAGTCAAGATGACTGTATCTAAACCCATATTCTTTAAGACATAATTACCACTCAGAAAATGTAGAAAGTTTAAAATTGGGCTGTGTAGGGAAAATATGACCCAAACCACAGAGACTGAAGCGGTCGGCTAGAAATTAAGTCAGCGGCAAGCCGTGACCCTTGCCCTTGACAGGATCCTTTGCCTGCTGCTGTTGGCTAACGGCAGCAAAGTCTTCACAAGATTCCCCTGAACTCTGAGCCTTCTAAGCAGCTCAGCGCTCCAGGGGCTCACCAAGAGTGGGCTTTCACTGAGCAGGAACAGGGACACCAGCTGACTGTCACCACAGGCTGCTCAGCCCAGGCCTGGCCCCCAGGAGGCGGCTACCACAGCCGTCTCTCCATTCCGAGCAGCAGAGCACCTGTGCTCTATCTCATCTCAGTCCCACCACTTCCTCCCTGGGCGTCCGTTTCCTCGGCCATGAAACGAGGGAGGGAGACTAGACCCCACTGCCACTCAAAGGCAGTCATCCACCAACCCTTCGCTGCTGGTTCACGACAAGGTGAGCACGGAAATCAGAGAAGCCGAGAAGCCGTGACAGCATACGGTACTGCCACACAGCCAAGCACGTGACCAGAGGAGCCATCTTGCTGAAGCAGCAGAGACCGGGGTAGGAGTTTCCTGTAGCTGCCGCAACAAATTCTCGCTAACCGCATGGCCTGAAACAACAAAAGTCCATTCTCTCACAGTCCGCAGGTCCAGGGGCCTGAAATCAAAGTGTAGGCAAGGGCCACAATCCCTCCAGAGGCTCGAGGGGAGGGTCTATGCCCCCTGCCTTTCCCAGCTTCTGCTGGTGGCTATCGGCATTCCTCGGCTTGTGGCCGCACCTCTCCTCTGCATCACTGCCTTGTGTGTGTGTGTGAAATCTCCCTCCTCCTGTCTCTTAGAAGCACACTTGTGGTGGCACTTAAGGCCCACCTGGACAATCCAAAATGGTCTCACTTCCAAATCCTTCTCTCAATCACCTCTACCAACACCCTTTTTCTAAGTAAGGTAACAAGATTTGGACACATCTTTGGGGCTACCACTTAGCCCCTGATAACCGGGATGGACATCGCCGGATTTGTGTGCGACCAGCTGTGGCTGGTATGCACTGAATGTTCATATCAGATCACCACGGGGGGAAAGAAGGCCCCACCCCATCTTTCACTCAGCTAGGACCCCTGCTCTTCCTCTATAGTCAGGAGGCCTGGGTTGGACAAGATCAGACTGCAATGAGCAGCCCCCAGGAAGGGGAAGGAGAACAACAGGAGGCAGAGGTGCCAAGAACAGGTACCGACTTTCTCTCAGCCCTTCCCAAGCTGGTCTCCCACCTTCTCTGACAGGCAGCAGAGGAACTGGCCCTTCCTTACCCCAGCCTCCTGTCCTTCAAGCAGCTTTAGTTGTAAAGTAATTAAATCAATCGGTGTTCTGTTCAAGTGTTTTCAGAGTTTTCAATGTCCAAGTTTGAGAGCAGAAATGAAACTGTTTTGCTAAACTCCTTGTGTACTGAGAACTGTCCTGCCACTAACATATCCTCTCCCCAACACTCCTCCCTGTAACCCTGAAAGCACTCAGGAAAACACTCAGGCTTCATAACCAAATGGAGAAAGCACTTGGAGGCTTGACACAGCAAGACCATCGTTTTCATTAGAAGTTTTCTTTCCTTGCAAGAATACTCCTTGCTAAAGGAACCACTATGTTGAGTCCCTTTGCTATGTTACATTTCAGCTGTAAAGGGCAGATGATGTCAAAAATACCTGAAAATGTTCAAAATGATAACACTCAATGCAGGTACGGCCACAGTAAAATGGGCACTCTCATCATTCAACTACTGGTAGGAGTATAATAGGCACAATCTTTCTGGAAAGCAGTATGGAAATTCTTATTAAGCAGCTTAAACAGTACATACCCTTTGACATTAGAATTCCATTTTCAGAACTCTACATTAGGGAATGAATCAGAAGTGAGGACAAACTTAATGTTCAAAGGTATCTCTGGCAGTGTTATACACTGATAAAAAAAAAAAAAAACAACCTGGAAATAAACTTAACAGCCAACAAAAGGAAATGATTAGATAAATTATGGTATATTCATAAATAAAGATTTATGCAGACATTAAAATGACATTTTACAAAGAATTTTTAATGAAAATAACAGTTACAAGAATAACAGCTAATCCTTACATGGGCCAGCCACTACCCTAAGTTTATTATTCCCACTTTATAGAGCAAAAAGTGGAGACACCAAGAGTTAAGACACCTGCCCACGGACATCCTGCTAGTAAGAGACAGCACTGGAGCGTGAACCCACCCAGTCTGGCTCCAGAGTCCATGCTCTTAAACCCTGTGGTAGGCTAAAAACTGGCCCCAAAGACATCATGATCCAACCTTGGAACCTGTACATGTTACCTTATATAGAAAAGGGTCTCTGGGGCACGTGGGTGGCTCAGTTGGTTAAGCGTCCGACTTTGGCTCAGGACTTGATTTCACGGTTCATGAGTTTGAGACCCACGTCAGGCTCTGTGCTGACAGCTCAGGGTCTGGAGCCTGCTTCAGATTCTGTGTCTCCCTCGCTCTCTGGCCCTCCTCCGCTTACACTCTGCCTCTGTCTCTCAAAAATGAATAAACTTTTTAAAAACAGAGAGAAAGAAAGGGGGTCTCTGCAGATAGGATTAAGATAAGAATCTTGGGGTGCCTGGGTGGCTCAGTTGGTTAACTGTCTGACTTTGGCTCAGGTCATGATCTCAGTTCGTGAGTTTGAGCCCCGCATCAGGCTCTGCTGTCAGCACAGAGCCCATTCTGTCCCCCTCTCTCCCTGCCCCTCCCCTGCTCATGCGCACATGCTCTCTCTCTCCCTCTCTCTCTCAAAACTTAACATTTAAAAAAGATAAGAATCTGAAGATAAAGAGATAGCCTCGATTATCTGGGTGGACCCTGGAGGCCATCACCAGTGTCCTCATGAGAGACAAAGAATACACACACACACGTACATACACACACACGCGCACGCACACACACATACACACACACACATACATACACGAAAGGCATGGGAGAGATGAGGCCACAGGCCAAGGAATGCCAGCAGCTACCAGAAGCCTGGTGGGACAAGGAATGGACTCTCCCGAGAGCCTCTAGAGGGAGCACAGCCCTGCCTATACCTTGATTTGAACTTCTGGTCTCCAGAACTATAGAAGAATAAATTTCTGCTGTTTTAAGCCTCCTCATTTGTGAAAACTGTTATCGCAGCCACAGGAAACTAACATGAGCTCCTATGTTGTACTGCTCTCAATGCAAGAGAAAATATTCTTATGTTAAATAGAGAAAGTAGAAATTGAAATTTATCCACAATGATCTTAATTATGCGTACAAAAATACATGCAAATACAACAAAATGGTTTGTAGTGATTATCTCTGAGTGCTAGAATTATGGGTAATTTTCAGCATTATGCCTTTTGATGTTTTTCCAAGTTTCTACAATTAGCGTGAATTACTTTTACAAAGGAAAGAAAATTATTATTTTTTAAAATTAGCAACTCATGAAATTTCTGCAACTCTAACTCAATCACAAAAATTAGAAATCAAGAGGGCCCAAATTCCCTG